CCTACATGCCTACATACATACATAGAAACATACACAAACACATATGTCTGTGTATATATATATATATATACAAACACACAGGTTACGTACATCCGTTTCTCGCTGCGCGTCGCACTGTCGCGCCCTCCTGTACAATATGCACAGCGCAGCACAGCAGGCTGAAGGATGCAGAATCATCGGCTTCAGCGATTTCCTTAAACAAACATGACGATCACTCACCGGAAGCCACGACATAATCTAGGGTCGAGTCAGAGTGGCTCTCGGACTCCACGAAGTAACCGCGGTGCAACAACACGCTAAAGATATCAGCTGCCCGAGCTTCCGATTCAGCACGCAGGCTCTCTAGATCGCAGAGTTTGCTGTAGAGGTCCTCGGAAGATGCTTCGCTCAAGCCTTGCGGCGGTGCTCCATCGATGATCACACGCCTCGTGTCCGGGCTAGAGCCCAGACTCAGAACTCGAGCGGATGTTCCAGCCATCCCTTGCTCAGACAGACGATGGCTGCAGTCGTATATGTCATCCAGGCTGACCGCATCAGGTTGATTCTCGGCAGCAAACGCAAACATCCACCTGTGCTCAGCCGGAAGAGAACTGCCGGTAGCGCGGAGGTAGCGCTGAGCCATCGCACGGTCAAGCTTCCCCTTGTCGCTCCGGCAAGCGGGCGGACGCGTCTTCTGCACACCCTTCTTGCCCATAGCAGGTCTAGGAAGCTACCCGAAGAACAAGTGGAAAATAGCTGCAGAAGTCTCATCCCGTCTAGTTCATTGGAATGCACATCTGCCTGCCCTTCATGCACGCCGGCTGCGCGCCCCTGATGCCGTACGGCCTTTCTTCAGACCCCCCTCTGCGCTCCTGGCTGCCGGTGAAACCGTCGCAGAATCGCACGGCACTGTGCACCCCCCTCTGCGTTCCCGTCTGCCGGGTGAAACCGTCGCAGCATCGCACGGCACTGCGCACGGACTCCGAAATCTGCTTCTAGTGCGCCCTGCATGCACGTGCGTGTCCACGCGATGCTTGCTCGAAAACTTCGCCTGATGTTGGCTACGTGCACAGGCTTGCAGAAAATAGCCGCGGCTTGCAGTATCCAAGACCCTGTGATATATAGGGGCCAGGAGCTGGCGGTGCTGGGTCCGGGGCTTAAGTTGTACTGTTCTCAGGCCGTAGGGACTGACGTGAAGAGGTTGCTTGTTATTGCGGCTTCTGGCAAAAGTGGAGGCATGTGCTTGCTGCCTGCTCACCTGCCACACATTCCGAAATGTGTGCATGCCACCCGGGACTTCGTAGCGAAGTCGAGAAACGTGGCCTTGCAAAAGACATTTCTCAAATTCAACACTCTACACGTGTCCGGCATCGTCAGCGCAATGACACTCAGGGGTCGCTTGTTGCGAACAGCCTCCCCGGATGCCTGAGCAGTCAACTCCGCAAACTCATCCCAGTCGTCCACGGGCTTCCACTTGGACCCGGCAGCGTGAATGCCCTCCCAGACAATGTCGGCCAAGGTCCGATGCTGGAACCAGAAATCGTCGCAAATGTAGACGCGCCTTCCTGTTTTGTTCGCGCCAGTGAAGGCAAAGGACACGCCCGACTCCCCGCGGGACTGGGCCCACTGGACGTCTCCCACAACTCCGCCCTGGACTGCAAGTGTCCACAGAGTGCGTTCGCCCGGCTCTGCTGCATCCCTTGCAATGAAAACTGACGCCGAGGCTCTGTCCGGCTGGACGCGCAGCCCATGCGCCCAACTCTCCTGCGCCCAACGCGCGTCCTCCAGAAACACGGGCCGATCTCCGATGGAAGGTGCCCCTGGCCTCAGCAGTTTGTCCACTGCACGCGCCCTGCCCAACCGCTCCTTCCGCAGCTTATCGTCGTGGGCTAGAAAGGCATCCACCACCAGAAGCATGTCCTCAGGAATTTCGCCCGGCAGCAAGCCCTCGTCTATGAAGGCCATGATCTCGTTCCTCGTCTTCTTGCTGGCAACGAAGGCCAGCTCTTTCGAGACCGAAGGCTGCGCCTGCACCGCCTCCTCACGTTGTTTGTTTTTTTTCACAAACAAGTTAACCATGCGGATGTGTCATGATGGAAAAAGAGAACTCCTAGCAAGTTTCATGACGTGCGCCTCGGTCAACTCTTGAACCTCCTGCAGCGCATGCTGCACTGACACGATGTCCGCGGATCCATCGATCAAGCGACGACGCTTGCGCACAAAGGAAGCCTCGGAGTCACCAGCTCTTGGTCTGGGGATGCCTTTGTCCAAGCGCGTAGTGCAGGAAGCCCGAGGCGGCCCTGACCGCAGTGTCCAGAGCGTGCGAGCGATGTTGATGATGTCGTCGGCGGTCTCTGTAGTGACATCCAGAAGCTTCGCCTCTGAAAAGTACAGGCCCGGCGACATGTGCCGCCGATCTGGCGGAATGTGGCTGTCGAGTCGGCTGAATACCAGCACGGGTCAACAAGCCTTATATAGAAGGACGCTGGTGGCATAAGGACGCTGGCCCATATAAGGACGCTTGCGTTTTTGGCTTGAACATCAAAAAGTTTCGCTGCCGGACGAACAGGGATCAAAAGACTATTGAGATGTGCCATTTGGCATTGAAAATGTTTCGAATGCACACCAATATGCCGCAAAAAAGTTTGGATCCCGTGTGAAAAGCACAACGTGCGCGAGCTATCATGAGCATCAGTGCGATCATGTGCGGCTTCTGATCTGAATATAGCTCGCAGATTGCAATTCTGGATTGGAATGTATTACACAAAGTTGGAGAATCGCCCCTGTTATTGGGGCGATTCTCCAAACTTTGTGGCTGGCCAGCTATCAACATACATCTTCTGAGTTGTACCTGTCCGGGGGATTCAGTCTGACATCGGTGTTTTATTCTGTGCATGCAGGTGTACATGTCAGGCCTCGAAGATTCACATGTACACCGGGTTGAGGATCCAAGTTTAGAGGTTTAGAGGTGTGTGTGTGTGTGTGTCTGTAAATCATTGTTCATCTCTGGCTCTATATACATATATATATAACAAAATTTGTATGGCTGTATAGGTATGTATGTATATATATATATATGTTTATGTCTATATATATACCCATATACATAAGATGTGTGTGTATATATATATATGTGGACCAATTCTGACACGCTAATTTCGAAGAAATCGCAAGAATATATGTAGCCATGGCATGGACTCCACCTGTATGCTGCAAGCTGGCGGTCGACTGGGCACACACAGCATCTCTTCTGCAGATTGTTTTACTGCCTCCACCGAAGTCCCATCTGCACAGTGTAGCGCAGCAGCACATTCTGCGACATGTTGCGCGCCGGAGCTTTGGATGCTAGACTTTTGATTCGACGGACGTTTGGGTGCCATGGCTCGACACCCACCCCCCGTGGTCGGAAAACTTCGGCTCGAGAGGCACTTCCTAAAAAGGCACGCAAAAGGCACGCTCCCAAACCCCACCCGCTGTGGTCGGGAAACTCCGGCTCCGGAGCCAATTCCAAAAGACACGCAAAGGCACGCTTTTGGGCCCCATATAAGGACGCTGGCACGAAAAGGCACGAAACGGCACGCTCTCTCCGGAACCCGGCCCGCCCCGCCCCGCCCGCCAGGCCCCACCCAGCGCTCGTGCCATGCCTTTTGGCGCCTCTTGCCCTGTGTGCCCATGTCCCAAACTGGCCCCACCCCCTGTACACAGCACACAGCCCAGTCTCCCACATCAGCCCATAATTAATCAAGGCATTTACACAGGCTGCAGGACATGAGTGCATGCAGCACATGGCACAGCACAACGCGCACACACACACAAACACACTCGATCCTGCACGAATCGATTTGTCGCTTTGTCTGTCTGTCTGGTCTGTCTGATCTGTTTGTCAGCACGGCTGCATGTCCCCGTCATCCATGGCTGAAGGGCTTGTTTGCCACGTGGTGGCACCAACGAGTTTTTAACAGCTCGTTTGCAACGATGCTGTATCGTCTTGGACTGTTTCTTCAGCCACTCTGCTCGTGTGAGCCCGTCAGTTGGAGACAGTGGAACCTCGACTCTGTAGTGGTCGAGTAGACGTTCCTAACGCACGCTTGACAGCTGTTGTGGTAAAGTACCGGGGCTCATGAACAGCGCCACACCATGCAAAGGCTTGGTGGCAACACAAGTTGAGGGAACCCTTTGGAGCTGTCGCACCTGTCAGTCGAACTCTCTCGCCCCTATCAGGGTGCACGCAAGTTAAGTGCAACTGCGCCGCTATGTGCCGCACCTTCTGCCCGATGTCTTCGGACATTTGGCCAGACAGCTGCAGCAGCATCATGATGTGCGAATGACATATCAGTCAGCACATGTGGCATGCATGCCGATATATATATGCTGCGATACCAATTCTCTAGCAATTTGCTCAAGGTTCCAAATGATTCTGTTTGAAATCATCACGAGCATTGAAGCATCCAGAGCAAAAGCCGCGCGAAAATCAACAAAAGTCGCGAAGAAAGTTGCATCATGAGACCGGAAATCAGGAACCAGAATCGGGACGTCCAAAAGACCTCGCCATAAAGACGCTTAATTTATAAGGCCGCTCAGACATATAAAGCCGATTGACCCGTGCTGGTAGCTGCTCGATGCCGCTCGTACTGGCGCCGCTCCACGCACCGTAGCGACTGACCAGAATGGCAAGGTTCTCAGATGGAAATTTGTCTCTCACAGCAGGAGCAGCACTCCTCGTGCGCAGCACTGCTGTGCGCCAAGATTCGTAGCTGGACATGTTGGGACTCCTGGCCTCATGCCTTGCAATGGGTTCGTGAAGCGAGTACTCCAGCGCCAGCTGCTCTACATCCAAGTCCAGCACCTGGGCCAGTCGCTCCAAGGACACGGCATACTCCTGCGCGGTGGAGCAACTAGAAGAGGAACCCTAAGATGGAATCAAGAATTCCAATCAGCAGCAATCCCCTCTAAATCACAAGACGCAGCGGCAAGGAGCCAATTCTGCCAGCAGTCCTGTGCGTCTGCCTGCACTTGCTCCCGGCTGCTCCCCGAAGACACGTTCATCACGCGCAGTGAGGCCAGAGTCTCGAAGCCTGGCATCTCCGCTTCCATCGTTTCCAGCGCGAGGCGTGTGTAGAGCTGCATGATCTCCAGACACCTTTCCCGAGTAGCGTCTGTGATGGGCCGCCCGCCCAGCGTCTTCCGAACCCCTTTGACCATGAAGCCTTTGGCAGTCTGTAGCTGGGCGATGACGTGGGCAGTGTATCCAGACTCGAACGCGCGGCCCTGCACAAACAGATACCGAAGCTTCGATGCGTGAACCTGGCAGTGGTACTGCAGTGTTGCGGCATCCCAGCCCTCACGATCAAAATAGCGTATCAGCACGAGGTTCTCTTCAGCGCATTCTGCAAGCAAGCTGAGGAGCAGCAGACGGTCTTCCGTGGCCCATTCCAAGAATGTCAGGGCAGACAAGTGACCCTTTTTGCCGGGGTCGGCAGCGGCCTCGATGGCTGTGCAGATGTAGGCCTCCAAATAAAGGCAAAAGCGCGACAGGGGCTTCTGACACGAGTCAAAACGGTGGCGGGCCAGGCTGAGATTCTTGATCCTCTTAGCGGTGGACGGCACGGCCTGCATCTCTTGTATGTTTCTCTGGAAAACCCGCGTCAGCACGTCACTGTGTTGTATCTTGCTCGTGAAGCTGGCAGCATTGCCGATGATCATGTCATACACCTCGTGGATCTGCGGGATTGCATGCCAAGGTCTGGAGAGCAGTCGCCGGCTAGCGTGTGCCTTGTCCCGAAGTATGAAAAGAATGTTTGGAAAGGCAGATCGCCGCATCTCGGCCAGTGCGAGCTGAGCATCCGATGCGCCGTCCGCATTCAGGACCTCTACCCTGTCCCGGATGCAAGACAAGGCGTCCTGGTCTAGCTGCCCGTTGCAGGAGCAGACTTTTTCAAGACAGCGCTGGACCCCCAGCATCACTTGATCATGCGCCTTGCTTTCCACGTCTTCTATCCCCAGCAGGCCACGACGCACTTGAAGATCCGCTGTGCAGCATTGGTACCGGACCGCCAGCCTCAATTCTTTGATGTCGCATTGTAGCAAAATACTCCAGGAGTTCTTGAGGATCTCACAGTCCATCATTGAAGCCGCGTCGCCCAAACATGAGACCATCTTTTTAACTTTTGCTTCGCCTCCGACGCCCTTCACTCCAGATCTGAAGGCCTGCCCCGGCAAACGCTCCAGCGTCTGCCGAAACTGCGAAATGCTCGGTGCCAGAGACTCGTCCTCCCCCTCGGCTTCCAGATAGCCAAGCTCCCTCAGTGCACGCATGTGCTGCTTGGCATCTGCATGGCGGCCGATATTGTCGAGTCTCCCTGCATCGCAGCCGCGCACCAGTTTTGCAGCTTTCTCCGCTGGCGTGCGTGCAACCTGTTTACACAGCCAGCACACAGCGACCTCTTCACCATCCACGTGCTCGAAAGAGAGCCAGCTGAGATCAGTTCCAGGGATGGTGAGCTTGGCTGCCTGGATGCTCGTTGTAGGCATGGCTGGCGCAGCTTTACTTACAAGCTGCTTGACCTCTACACACTGCGGGGAGCGCATGACAAGTTGCCTGCAAGGTGCTGCCAATGCCACCCTGAGACTGGCAGGATTTCCTATGTGATCTGAACGAAAGAGTCTCCACGGCGATAAACGTGGGATTAGCCAGGGCAGGCAGGAAGGCCACCCCAAACTTGTCCTTGAATTCGTGAAGTTAGCCTAGCAGCAGTCAACCATCCAAACCTAAGCTTTGGAACCCAGTACGTGAAAATGCACGTGAGCTTCAGCAACACTTGCCACGCGAACGCACAGGCAGTCGAGCTCCGAGCGTGGCTGCCGCATCCCGACGCGTGGCTCTTACAACCTGAGCTCAGCTCTACGACGACGACGACGACTACTACTACTCCTGCTACTACTACTACTACTACTACTACTACCCGAGGCCTTTCTCGACCCGGCACCCTCCCGGTGCACTAAGGGTCGGCCCAGGCGCCCTCCCGGCGCGCTTTTAGGATTTCTCGACCGGCACCATCCCGGTGCACTTTGGTCAGCCTCGGCGCCCTCCCGGCGCACTGTGAGGTCTTTTGGACCCGGCACCATCCCGATGCACTAAGGGTCCGCCCCGGCACCATCCCGGTGCGCTTGCGGGGTCTTGAGCCTGCAGCCCTCCTACTACGACGACGGCGACGACTACTACTACTACTGCTACTACTACTACTACTACTACTACGACTACGACTACTACTACTACTACTACTACTACCAGCTTGCGGATGGTTATGCGATAGGCTTTGCAGGCCTCTAGTGTTCAGGGATTCAGAAGGATGCAATAGTCTGGAAACCCGAAACCCNNACCCTGTATAAACCCGAAACCCCTAGACCCTTTCGCTCGGAGATTCTGGGTAGCGCATCCAGCTGGATCGGCATTCAGGATCGACTGGCATGACAATTCCAGTCCATTCCATTTCAGTACATTTTCTACCGAATTAAAGGGCACGACAGGCCGGGAAGGGCTCCTGCATGAACTGGTCGTAAGCTGCTGAGCTGAGATTGTACAAGGAATCAGCGCCTGCACACCAGTCGTAGAGAGCCCTGGAAATCCACTTCTCCGTCAGGCTGAGATCGTGGCTGGCTTCCTGCAGTCCGCCATGTGCGACAGCCCTCCATCGAGACCATGCAACCAGCCCCTCAATGGCCCGATGTGCAGACTTCGGGGACGAAAGCGGGCCGTTCACCGTGACAAGAGTTGGGCACACCCGCAGCAGGCAGGATCTTGCTGTAGCCAGCCGGACACCGTGGGCATCCGCAACGAAAACAGACTTCGTGTGGTACACGTCCTCCCATGCTTCTTTCGTTTCCACCGGAAGATTCCTCCACATGTCCAAGAGCTGAACCAAAGTGTCCTGGTGCGACTGCATGTACTGCTCCATGCAGCTTAGCCGGTCGACAGCCCGAGTCACAGAGTCCGCATTCGGATATTCACCATATCGGTGTGCAACCCCTTCGTTCAGCCGGTCGACAGCCCGAGCCAGAGAGTCCGGATTCGGATACTGACCATATCGGTGTGCAGCCCCTTCGTTCAGGTTAGCCATGGCCAAGTATCTAGATCCCTCAAGTGGATTGCGAAACTTCTGCATGGATCAAGCCGAGATTTAGTGGCAGCACGGGATGAAAGCCTGAAGGGTAGGGGCAGCTTCATGGATTCCGGGATTCCTTCG